GTACTTATTTATACAAAAATCTTTCGAAATCTTTAACTAATTTTGACACATTACTATTATAGCCAGTCTGTGAGACCGCTACTAATTACATACTTCTTCATTTGTGATAATAATGTAATCGTAAAAAAATTGTAAAATTGTAAAAAAAAGGAACGTTTCTGATACACTTGCTTCTATTTGATTGAACTAGGATCCCTTCATTAGTGATGTACAAAGTAAGGACAATTAATTTTGATTTTTTATTTATTTATATTTATTTACATTTTTTATTTATTTATATTTTATACCAATAGTAACGCAATAAAGGGATCTGCTAGAATAATCTTTCTCATTTGTATTTTTTATGAGCATTGTTCTACTTGAACCATTAATGTTTGCCTCTGTTTTAATATCCATTTTCCGAATAAAGTTACTATTACTTCCGCACTTTTCGAAGCAAAGATCGCAAGCGAGCTTCGATGCAAACTTCACTTTCTAAAAATATAACAGTTTCCCATCGAAATCTTCCTCAGTTATGATACTTGACCGATACACTCGGCATGTGTCAATCAGTGAGACCCACGCGCAAACAAAGCAGTCATCGAGAGTACTGTTTTCCTCCGATCGATTCGATTCGGAATAAGAAGTCCACACGCATTCGTGATTGAAAACGGTGCTGGTCACGTAACAATAATACACAAATCGTGGGTCGCGCGACGAAGGTAATCGAATTGCGTCAGATGAGAAACAACAATACTTCTTCCTTTATAAGGAACTGGTTCCATCCAGTCGAGTTGTGAAGCAAGAGAACGATAATTAGATCGAAGACAACCGATAAGTATCGATAATGTTGTCCTTCGAATTTTGTATTTCTGAATGAACTCGGGCAGGTAAATTTCGAACAGTTCCTTCGTCGATAACAGGGAAACTCCATATTCGATGAAACAAAAATTTCTCAATAGGAAAATAAATTTTATTTTAAAATAAAAATGTACACGAATTTTTTAAAAATTCGCCGATAAAATTAAGTTAAAATTATTCCATACACTAAAAGTACACTATAACGTCGTCAAATTAAATGCGAAATGCAGGCGACACTTGTCATACTTTCGAGGAAAAAAGATAGAATCGCTCTAACAATCTTCGATCGGTCGAATGATTGACGTCAAGCGATTTTTAACATTTCATCGAAGAAGTACTAAAAGTAACTGTTTTATTTTACAAAACGACGATAATGTATCTGTTTGGAATTTCGGCGGTGTTCTTCGTTATAATAAATATCCCACGAAATCAATTTATTGAATAATTACCCGTGAATATATCTTCGCAATCTAGAAACAGTGAAACCCGTTCAAGCGTTTTAACAGGATCAAGGCAAAAACGCATCTCAAACCTTGTATCCAGTATTTAAAAAGTTAGTTTCCACATTTCATATAAGTTCGAGTTTTGATCCGGCTATGAAAACGGCAGATCGTATTTTATTTAAGAAAAATTATTGTAAGGACACAATAACCAAGGGGTGGCACAATAATTGACACACTTACCCTATTCTCGATGAGTATTCCGATCGATTTATGCGGATAGAATGATCGAAAATTTTAGGTTTGCGAACCAGATTCTCCCCTTAAGGGTTAAACGATGACGAATCGGAGTCTGGTAATTCTGCTGCATAGAAAAGGCTATTGTACCCTGAAGAATCATCGGGAGGAATCCCGAGACAGTCCAACAAGTTGCCAAATATCGTCCCGTTACCCGTCGCCCTCCACCCAGCCGAATTTCCCTGGATTGGCTCTGTGTTTTCAGGGTTCGATCCGATCTCCCCCAAACGGCGCATAATTCAAGAAACACAGGATTTCACGGGTGCGTGCACATGCGCGGGCCACGCTCGGTTTAGGGGTGGCAATAAAAGACCTCGAGTGGCCGGGAACGTCGAAAACCCGTTTCACAGTTTCCCTGGGCCTCGAAACGAAAAATTCATATTCATCCCGGGCGTGGGCGTGTATACGGGCCGTGGCCGGCACTGTGTGAATCAACACGCACCGACACTGCGCGCTATGGTCGCAGCTTTGATAGAGAGAGATACGGCCGAAAGAGGGATAGCAGTGATAAAAGGCGTTAGTCCATTCCGGGATGATTTATGTGTCGGCGGAGCAGAAATACAAACAGGTGCTCGAACCCCCTCGAGAACCCAAACTCATCGAAAATAAAAAGGAAGCGACGGAATATAAAATATGTGTCCACGCGTAAATATGCTGGAAAGGGGATAGTCACTGTCTAGGGGCGACCCGTGACTAAACGGTCACCCGAGGACCACTTTCTGACCTTGCCTCCGTCTTCACGGATCGGTACAATTGTCTGGAGTCTGCTGGAAATTCGGTTTGCAGCAGCGTCGATGGAAAAACTTCGATTCGAGAGATAACAGCTGGGATAAGTTGACGAATTCAAGGATTTCTGTAGCTTCTGATGCGTTGACAAGATGGCGGAGAACGTGTTGGGTCGACTTTTAACTCCCATTTTTCCACGGACGTATCGCAAGGATAATTCTATTTATTCTGCTCTTTATACCATTACAACCAAAACATTAACACGGGATCTCTATCAAGCCCTAAAAAATTACTGACGTATATATTATAAGCCGGCTGCAGATTTTTATGCAAAATAAATGTTGCGTTAATTGCAACATATAGAAACTAAATAGCAAGTCCTTTTTTTCTTTAATTATTTCGATAGACCGAAAATAATATATTGACATCTTAAAATTCTGTTAATCTTGTCGCTATTTTAAATTGCATCTACACAATTATACCATAAATGCATTAAATCCGCATATAACGTATAAACTTTATAACGACAAAAAGACTGAATGTACGTAGACCTTTCGTCCATTTTGATTATAATGTATGCTTGATAATTTTCTTGGATTAAGAAATTGATTCGATCATGTTCTATGGAAGTCTTCATAATTTCAACAACTTTACCATAAAAAATATGAAACCGGTCATTTCAACCGGTTCGGTAGGTTTAGTATTGATGGAAATTGTATGTAATTGAGTCACTTGTTGATAGTCCAATCCAGGTGGTACGTTCATCAATATGTAATCTTCAGGAAAATGTTCTAATAACGACCTTTCGCTCATACAACACAAGATTTGCAGATGAATACCCCTAAGTCAAAAAAATATTGCTTCGCATTTGCTAGTTATAAATAGTTTATAAATGTTTAGTTTCGTAAGTAGAATAACATTCAATTTGCAGCACAACATAGTTTATCCATAAAATAAACTATATCTTTAAGATATTTCAACGATATTCGCAAATATGTAAGTGTCCCGGATGCAATTGAATAAACATCTGAAACTAACAAACATGTTTGAAGAAACACGTCTCGTGCAAATTGTTACAAGAGTGTACCATCTAATCCATTTTTCAATGTTCGCTTCAGAATCATCCATGATTTTCTACGTGCTGGTGAACCTCATTAGATGGCACGTTTTAGGTGGATCATACTGTACATAAATTATTTATGAATTTCTGCAGAACATGTAACATTTCATTTTCCTTCACTTTTACGCATTTCTGAAAAGTTTTCATTGTCAAAAAAGATGTCTTGTGATTTGTCTATACAGTTGCAAAACTTCTAACGCGAAAGAATGGGAAGGAAACAAAGCGAAACTTTTCGGTTGATTTCCATTTTATTGAAATTTCCTGGTGATCCTAAATAGTCCTTGTTTCCCAGTGCTTCGACCGTCGAACGATG